TGATTTGAAGTCTAGCTATTCAAATCTACTTTAAAAGCATTAAACGGGCATAAATAACATCAACATGTATTTTTGTATACAAAAAACCCCCCTGTCTTTCCCCCCTACATATTCACTGAAAAGTTATTGTAAAAAAACGACAAGTTCTGAAAATAAAACAAAGTTGCTTCATCTAGAATGGATTTATAAAATCAAATTTTTCCTCAACCTTAACCCTGTTAAATTTCTTTAAAGGCCCATTATGCCCATGAAATGCTTTTATTTTATTTCTCAAAAGCTTTGTATTTTTGTGCTCTATTATACATGTTATTGTATCTAAAAAGTTACTCACTGGCCAATTACCTTACTTATCTATTGCTTCTGTTGCATTTTGACAGTTTAATAAAGTAATAGTGATTTTGTATGGAAGACAAAATACTGCATGTATTTTGTTTACATTTTGCTTAATTTTATGAAAATAATTTCACATACAGTGCTGATCTCTAAAGTATATGTTATAAGCATTTAACATGCCTCTCAAAGTGTTATAAATCATTATAAAACTCGTTTTCACCATTTCTGAAAAAGAAAACAATTATTAATTTCTGAGGCATAATGTGCCTTTTAAATGGACCTCTCTGACTTCCATTTAAGAACTGTCCATTTTCAATGTTAGGGATATCAAGCATGAAAGTTAATGAAGTTTGTCAGCCAACAGTAAAGAGCCTGGTCAGTTTGCACAGATGTAGGCTCTATACTGGTGGCAAGGGTCAATCATATTCGGTTCCAGATGAGTATAATGATTGTCGGTTCCAGAAGAGTATAATGATTGAAGAAAAATATTATTCAGCAGTAACAAAAAACATTTCTGTTTAAGAATGTTATGTGAATAAAAGTTTGTACCATTTTAAAATGAAATTTACATCAAAATACCAACTGGAAACAAGTCCACAAGTATTTCACAATATTGAATAAAATCCCACTTAAAACACAGTTAAATATAGATACAATATATTCAAAATTCTGACATTTTATTCAAAAGCTTTGAATAATGCAAGAAATTTCCATGCAGAAAATATCAAGTGAGTGTTACAGTTGATAAGGCATGATTAATGCATTTTATGTAATATTGTGTAAAGTGGATGATGATATGAACGAAAAATACAAGTATTGATAATTCAATACAAAACTGGTCAATATACAAAATCAATCATTTATATACCAGACCTATAGAAATTGATGTGAAAAATATACAATTTTCTTTCTTTATTTTTATCAAAATTTAATTCAAACGCATTAAAACACAATTGTGATGAAATATTTTAAACTTATTTTGATCACTCTTGAACCAACCAGTACTGGTGTGGTGGCTAGCATACTGGACTGGCAATCCACTGAGACCTGTGGTTCGAGTCCCAGCTGCAGTCATAACTCAAGTGGGCTCAAACCTTTAAGTTGACAGGCAGGAACCTTAATCACTAATATATATTTTATTTGCTAAATTTACAGTTTTATTGTACCTTTTATATGTCCTATGAATCACCCAATTAAATGTAAACATGTTAATTTTTTAAAAATTAAATTCTGATGAAGCCAGGGGGTAAAGGTGTACAGACTTAAATAAAAAATATAAATTTTAAAAGGTTACCTTTGGATTAATCTTGGGTGGTGAGATACTGAATAGGACGAAAAGTTCTATTCCGCTGTCAGCCGGACTCTCCGTTTCTTCCACGACGTTGGCGTCTCATTGGCTTTGATATTTTGGAATGTCATGCACACGTTTAAACAACGGTGATTCTTCGTGTCTTGGCGAGTCGATGTTTGGCCACTGCAGGCGGACGGCTAGCCCGCGATGGGAAATCTCCATGAATTCCTTCACTGGACTCGAAATATTAGATTTAATCGGTGAGGCATCCGGCGATTTAGATTTCAACCGGACTACGTGTTTTTCTTGGCACCTGTGCCTTTCTTTGTACCAACATTTTCATTTGAATTTCCATTGAAAGTAATATTTGTTGAAGTGAATAATTTCCATCATTCTTCAATAAATAAATATATGAACTTTTTACTTTTTCACAAAAGTAATTTCTCATTTCAACTATTATTGCCATTTTAACACTTTCATATAAAACGTAAACACGCTTATCAAAAAATTAATCTTAACTTTAAAGTCTAAAGCTGTATTTGAAAATCAAACAACAATTCATCCAAAGTTATACAAACTACTCATATTAAAGTGTGTTTCCCTTTAAACCACGATGGTTTCTATAATATAACAAAATTCTTTGGCATGTTAAGAATATTAATCTGTTAATCCATTTTTTAATTCCTTTCACAACTCAGGCAATGCCACTTTTATTTTATTCTTATAACTTTTGTATGGTTCCTTTATATTTGTACATGTATTATACTTTAATCCTATTACCAAATCAATACAGACGGGAAAATTCACTGGCTACTACAAATAGTATGGGTATGGTTTTTAGATAACCAAAGGTCATGACCCATCAACCTTTTAAAAAGTGTTTTGATTTTTTTTTTACATCAAAATATATATGACACTTACGAATTAAGAAAACAGGGTACTTGAAAGTTATTGAATAAAATTCTGCAGTTCAATAAAATCAACTGATAACATGGTAAGATAGATTAGAGCTTTACCGTAGATAAGATAATATTTGTACACTACTTATTTTTCTCCAATTTAAACACATCTTGTGATTTTGTAACTCTAATTACCTTGCAATTCATTTTAAAATCTACTATCCTTAAATAAATTCTTTCTAGTAATCTTAATCACTTACTTCCTTTTTAATTTTTATTCATAAATTATTACAAAAAAAATCAAGGGAAGTAACTACTTGCAGAGTGGAAGTCAATATTTGCCTATAGCTTTTCTTTGTAAGTCTGGCTATTAACCACCAGCCTGAAAGATAATCAACAGTTTTTTGTTTTTTTTATTTTTCAAAGATTTTTACATATTGTTATTTTTCATTTCAGAAATCAATATCTCCTAGAATGCAATTTTGTGTTAAGGTATTGTGTTTTTTTTTACTTGAATTTATAAGCCTTTCAGGAAATAATTCAATAAAAAATGAATACGCAATAGAATTTTCAGACATTATATTTTTTGAATTACAACATGTAAAGGATTGCCCTTCTAAATACTAAATGTATTGTAATTAATGTCTCATCAGCTCAAGATATAATACATCAACATTCTAAATATATGATAAATCTGACACAGACATCAAAAGCACACTTTTGAACAGAGGAAATCTGTTGCTATATATCTTTACAATTTAATACATACTAAAGGCATTCCCTACAGAAACAAAGAAAAAAAACATTGGATACTAAACAAAAACTAAGCTCTTGGCTGCCCAATTTTCATGTTCAGAGTTATCATAACTTCCAAACAATTGTTAATTAAGCTTAACCCTAAACTGCTAATTTTAGTAATGTATTTGTCCTGCTATGAATTTAGAACATTGCATTTTGGAAGTTGAAGGGATTTTAATATCAAAAATCACAAATTAAGAACCCAAAAAAGCATCAAACACATTTGGGAAAGATGTTTTTGGCCCACCTTAAATTACCTGGCCCCTATACTGGTTGGGAAATGTAAAACTTTCTTTGTTCACTTTAAAAAATTTCCCCTTTTTAAGCCTATAATTTTATATGTTTTTAAAACCCCTCTAAAAAAAAACATAAATAAAAAATTTCTTGATGTTTTATTATTTTAAATAATTTGGGTTTCCCAGAAAAAAACCTTTCTTTTCCCTTCAGACTGGGGGGTTTTTTTGTAAATTTTTTACCCATCCCAGTTTCCCTCTGGCAATGGGGGGGCCGGGTGCATTTCGTGCCCAAAACAATGGCATGTTTGGGATGACGTACTTTCGCCCCTTATGAATGAATTTAATTTTATTTCGGGTGTTGTAAAGAAAAAAGTTTTTAATGACCACAAACGATAAACATATACATTCTTAGAATCAATTTCATTCAAAAAGGCACACATTTTAATGATTCATTTAGAGCAAGCAACTTGTTTTTACTTGGGTGTGCCCAAAATTTATAAAATCTGTCATATGTTGTTTCAATGGAAAAATTTCCCTTTTGGGGGTGCCCCGAGGGATATAAATTCCCCCATTTCAATTGCCCAAAAATTGTCCCGATATTTTTTCTTTTATATTTAAACCCCTTTCCCAAACAATTTTTAAATTCCCTTTAAAACCCCTTTTTTAAAAAAAATTTTTCCAAAGGAAAAATTTTTTGAGAGGAGATCTGTTGCTATTATCTTTCCAATTTAATACATACAAAGGCATTCCCTATAGAACAAGAAAAACTTTGGATACTAAACAAAAACTAAGCTCTTGGCTGCCCAATTCATGTTCAGAGTTATCATAACTTCCAAACAATTGTTAATTAAGCTTAACCCTAAACTGCTAATTTTAGTAATGTATTTGTCCTGCTTTGAATTTAAACAATTGCATTTTAAGTTGAAGGGATTTTAATATCAAAATACACAAATTAAGATACCAACAGCATCGTCACATTGTGCAGATAAATTTCCATGGTTACTGACAGAACTTTCCTTGGCTTCACATGAGCTATTTATCATTCATTGCAAAGTTTACTATAAAATTGAAAAGGAATTGTGGCAAAATGTAAACTTATGATATTCCACTGTTCACTCACTATATACACTTTGATGGCAGAATGTTCATTTATATGGAAAGTTCCGGAAGTCAGTCAGACAAATCTATTGAAGAAATTCAAGAGGTTTAATGTTAAATTAATTCAGCACAATGAGAAACAACATAAAGTAATTTGGTAAGCTCAAGCTGCCTGTGAAATTACTGATTTGATTTCTGCTGGAGAAGTTACTTCTAGCTTCTAGCTTTCTTCTGCTAAAACCATGATTAATTACTTACTGCTAGCTACACTTAAACTTTCACCAGCAACATATAGGCTGAGCAATTGAGTAGAAGTCAAACAGAAGAAAAAACAAATATTCACAGTACAAAATTTTTACACTTTACTTTACAAAACATATATGATATTACAATGAATCAAACATATAAATATGAACTTTGTGATCACCCCCGGCAGCAAGGGCAGGTAACTTTCTGGTGCCAGCTGATACTGTATGTAATCGGTTGAGATATTGTCAGAGGATTCTACAGGAAAAAAATGAAAAGAAAGTACCATAAGTTCATACAAAGTTAAATCACAACACTTTAGCTATGTCCACAGAAAAAATTTATTCATGACAGAAAATAACTAAATGAGCCGCGTCATGACACAACCAACATAGTGCGTTTTCGACCAGCATGGATCCAGACCAGCCTGCGCATCTGCGCAGTCTGATCAGGATCCATGCTGTTCGCCATCAGTTTCTCTACTTGTTATAGGGTTTGTAAGTGAACAGCATAGATCCTGATCAGACTGCGCGGATGCACAGGCTGGTCTGGATCCATGCTGGTCGCAAACGCACTATGTTGGTTTTGTCGTGACGCAGCTCAAATCTATTTCACACTAGAGCTGTGTATTGTCAGGGTAGTGGCGATAATATTCAAGATACAGAGGAGCAATACACAAACTGATTTACCATACGTCACTGAATGATGAAATAGCTCAAATGTTTAATGTAAAATTATAATCTTACATAAGACTTTATAATCCAGCCATTCAAAAATATATCAGAACACATTTACAAGGGATACTTTTATATCAAACTTCTTTACTAGTGAACATTATGGTGCCTTATCATATGAAACATCATGTTTTGTAGTACTACCACAGGAACGTTTTACAGAATACTTTAGCTTCATCAATTTTAGAAAAGCCAAAGTATTTCCATACTTTTGACACAAATTTAGCCGGGGCATCTTTGTACGGTAAACTATCTCAGTCCATTTTGCAGACAAAAATACAGTATTTAGCGTAATCATATAAATACTTTTTAAATTAAAGTCATAGAATGGAATATTCATTGCATTTATTAACAAACGGTACAAATAAACCTTATATTTCATTTTTTCGGTAATTTTCTTGTACTGAAGTTAATTACAGCGAAACTTCTCGTTGCTAGCTTTACAGTAAATGTTTATTTTTGGATATATAACACAATTTGGATAGGCAATGAAAATATGCTGAATATTTTAAACAAGAGGGCCATGATGGCCCTGAGGTCGCTCACCTGTATATAGCCCCCCCCTCCCCCCGGGCCAATTTTTACCCAAGGGCTTTTATTTGTTTATTTGAACAGACTTGGTAGACACCCATAAGAAGATGTTTCAATTTGCTAAACATCTAAGTTCTAGCTCATTGGGTTTTTTAAAAAGAAGTTTTTTAAGTTTTTACTATACACATATAGTTAAAAACAATGACACCCCTGGGGCAGGGCCAGTTTTTGACCCCCGGGCTTTTATTTGAACAAAACTTTGTAGATATTTACTTAAAGATGTTTTCATGCTTAATATCTAAACTCTAGCTATTTGGGTTTTTTCAAAGAAGATTTTTAAGTTTTTGCTATACACATTTAAGGAAAATCAATGACCCCCGGGGCGGGGCCAGTTTTGACCCCAGGGCTTTTATTTGAACATACTTGGTAGACACCCATTAGAACATGTTTCATGCTAAATATCTTAGCTCTAGCTCTTTGGGTTCTTTAAAAGAAGATTTTTTAAGTTTTTACTATATGCATATAGGGAAAATCAATGACCCCCTGGGGCGGGGCCAATTTTGACCCCAGGGCTTTTATTTGAACACACTTGGTAGACACTCACTAGAAGATGTTTCATGCCAAATATCTTAGCTCTAGCTCTTTGGGTTCTTTAAAAGAAGATTTTTTAAGTTTTTACTATATGCATATAGGAAAATCTATGACCCCCTGGGGCAGGGCCAATTTTGACCTCAGGGCTTTTATTTGAACAAACTTGGTTAGACACTCATTAGAAGATGTTTCATGCTAAATATCTTAGCTCTAGCTCTTTGGGTTCTTTAAAAGAAGATTTTTAAGTTTTTACTATATTGCAATATAGAGAAAATCAATGACCCCCTGGGGCGGGGCCAATTTTGACCCCAGGGCTTTTATTTGAACAAACTTGATAGACATTCACTAGAAGATGTTTCATGCCAAATATCTAAGCTCTAGCTCTTACAGTTCTTTAAAAGAAGATTTTTTAAGTTTTTACTATATGCATATAGGGAAAATCAATGATCCCCCGGGGCGGGCCAATTTTGACCCCAGGGCTTTTATTTGAACAAACTTGGTAGACACTCATTAGAAGATGTTTCATGCCAAATATCTAAGCTCTAGCTCTTAGGGTTGTTTAAAAGAAGATATTTAAAGATTTTTCTTTCGGTTGCCATGGCAACCAGAGTTCTTCATGGAATTAAATTCTTTGAACAATTTTTAAAGGTGACCACCAAAGGAACATTCCTGTGAAGTTTGGATGAAATTGGCTCAGTGGTTTATGAGGAGATGTCATTTAAAGCAAAGTTTACGGACGAACGCCGGACGGACGCCGGACGAAAAGCGATCACAAAAGCTCACCCTGTCACTTTGTGACAGGTGAGCTAAAAAGGTGTGTTTTATAAGCTTAATAATATAAGATTTAAGGCAAGACCTATATCAGAATTTCTCTTTTAGATATGATTACAAAAAAAAACAAGAGGGCCATGATGGCCCTGAGGTCGCTCACCTGTATATAGGCCGCCCCAACCCCCAGGGCTTTTATTTGCACAAACTTGGTAGACACCCATAAGAAAATGTTTCATGCTAAACATCTAAGCTCTAGCTCATTGGGCTATTTAAAAGAAGATTTTTTTTAAGTTTTTACTATACACATATAGTTAAAAACAATGACACGCCTGGGGCCGGGCCAGTTATGACCCCAGGGTTTTTATTTGAACAAACTTTGTAGACACTTACTAGTGATGGCCCTGAGGTCGCTCACCTGTATATAGGCCGCCCCAACCCCCAGGGCTTTTATTTGCACAAACTTGGTAGACACCCATAAGAAAATGTTTCATGCTAAACATTTAAGCTCTAGCTCATTGGGCTATTTAAAAGAAGATTTTTTTAAAGTTTTTACTATACACATATAGTTAAAAACAATGACACGCCTGGGGCCGGGCCAGTTATGACCCCAGGGTTTTATTTGAACAAACTTTGTAGACACTTACTAGAATATGTTTCATGCTTAATATCTAAACTCTAGCTATTTGGGTTTTTTCAAAGAAGATTTTAAGTTTTTTGCTATACACATATAAGGAAAATCAATGACCCAGGGGCAGGGCCAATTTTGACCCCAGGTCTTTTATTTGAACAAACTTTGTAGACACTCACTAAAAGATGTTTCATGCTTAATATCTTAACTCTAGCTATTTGGGTTTTTTCAAAAAAGATTTTTTTAAGTTTTTGCTATACACATATAAGGAAAATCAATGACCCCCGGGGCGGGGCCAATTTGACCCCAGGGCTTTTATTTGAACAAACTTGGTAGACACCTATTAGAACATGTTTTGATGCTAAATATCTTAACCATAGCTCTTTGAGTTCTTTAAAAGAAGATTTTTAAGTTTTTACTATATGCATATATAGGGAAAAATCAATGACCCCCCGGGCGGGGTCAATTTTGACCCCAGGGCTTTTATTTGAACAAACTTGGTAGACACTTATTAGAACATGTTTCATGCTAAATATCTTAGCTCTAACTCTTTTGGTTCTTTAAAAGAAGATTTTTTAAGTTTTTACTATATGCATATAGGGAAAATCAATGACCCCTGGGGCGGGGCCAATTTTGACCCCAGGGCTTTTCTTTGAACAAACTTGATAGACACCTATTAGAACATGTTTGATGCTCAATATCTTAGCCATAGCTCTTTGAGTTCTTTAAAAAGAAGATTTTTTAAGTTTTCACTATATGCATATAGGGAAAATCAATGACCCCCCGGGGCGGGGCCAATTTTGACCCCAGGGCTTTTATTTGAACAAACTTGGTAGACACTCACTAGAAGATGTTTCATGCCAAATATCTAAGCTCTAGCTCTTATGGTTTTTTAAAAGAAGATATTTAAAGTTTTTTCTTTCGGTTGCCATGGCAACCAGAGTTCTGCATGGAATTAAATTCTTTGAACAATTTTTAAAGGTGACCACCAAAGGAACATTCCTGTGAAGTTTGGATGAAATTGGCCTTGTGGTTTATGAGGAGATGTCATTTAAAGTAAAAGTTTACGGACGCCGGACGACGGACGGACGGACGACGGACGCCGGACGAAAAGCGATCACAAAAGCTCACCCTGTCACTTTGTGACAGGTGAGCTAAAAATGTGAATCTGGCGATACAAAAGCACGCAAATATTCGTGTCCAAAATTCATGACAAAATTCGCGATGTACCGAGAGTTCGGCTAGAGTTTGGACATTCATTACAGCCCTATTTCACACCTATATATTATTATCATACAGCTTAAATTCTGGTCAGTACAGATAACCCAATTAAATAAACAATATTAAATTCTTTTATTACCTCCCTTGAATTGATGGTTGTAAAAATAACAAAAAAATCTGGGTTTTTTTTATACAAAAAAAAAAAAAAAAAGACTAGGAAAATTCCAAGAATTTTGAAAGATTTACCTATATCTGTATAATCATTGTTCAAACAAGTCAGTAATATGGTAACCATGGGACAGGTTTTCTACATGTAGTCTTTATTTAGAGGCAACAGAAGTACAGGACTGACTGAAGTCTTTAATTGGAAATTTTAAACCACACAAAAAAACACTGTGATATGAAGTCCAAAACTTTATACACCATATCAAGCAGGCTGAATCATCTTTAACTAGTCTTTAAATTGGTTTTATCAGAAAAAGTTGAGAGTTAATTCTCAACACTTTTAACTGTTAAGAAAAAAAATGTACATTGCGAAAGTACAATATCACAATAAAAGTTAGCAAAATGTTTCAATGAGTAACTGCGCTTACCTGTTGATGTTTTGTATTGAATACTTTGATCTGGCGGCCAGGTCTTCCTACAGTCGCAACGAGGGAATCATGACATTTCGCCCAACGGAAATGTCTCGCACCTTCTACATGTATCTGACGTCTTTCTACTGGACGACTGATGAATCATAATAATACAAGTTGATCAATTATTCATAAACACTTATGTGTAATGGACTCAAAATGTGATAGTTAAAATGTCACATCATGCCATACACAACATTATGTCTCTAAAAAAATACCTAATGTTTCAAGTCAAACTTAATAATGACTAATTCAAAAAAATGATTTAACATTATGTAAATCAGCAACACTCACATAACTACTGATACATGGAGCTTATTAAGAACTTCTTTCTTCTATGAATTATATCTTTTCTTAGAATAAAGTCATTTAGTGCAGTAGTACATGCTCATCAAATTTATGTGTTTTATTTGATTTTGATTTTTTTTGTTCCAAAAGTATAAATCACATTGCAATTGTATGTTTCCATGGTAAAGGAAGTCATGGCCTTCTTCCAAAACCATAAATCATTGCCGACATTTACTTACACTGAGTCAATATAATGACTTTCCTTATAAGAAATCAGCCCAATATCTTGGACAGAATTTGCATAATTGCTGGTTAAGTAATACGTAAGTCAACGTAAAATATTTCTGACATCACAAGCCTATACATATAAACTTACCTTGACACGGAAACGTCAAACATAAACCAGTCTGTCCCCGCCACAGCCCCTATAAGCAGCCCTTTATTCCCGACACTCCAATCAGCTTCCATCAGTGGCACCTGTCCCGTATCAAAAGACATCAACTGTTGTTGTCCACTAAGGCTGAAAATTTTTATAACCCCATCTTTCTGACCCACCATAACCTGTATAATAAAATCACTGTTGATCACGATCATGAGTTTAATGTTTTTTGTAGCATAGTTTATACAAATTTATCCATGCTGGTCGCAAACGCACTATGTTGGTTTTGTCATGACGCGGCTCAAATGGCATTTCAATAGCTTTTTTTATCTTTATGAAAACAAACTTTCAATACATTTATGAATTAATTCTATATTTTCAGTTTTGTTAAAGAGCCAACCAGCAACAAATATGTAGCGGTAAGTGGGGTTCAACCACTGCAAGCAGTTTACCAGTACCAGTTGCATTCACTTTTGAAAAGAACTAATTACTTCTGTACATGCTAGAGCAGAGGTACAGTGCAAATGACCGTTAAAAGGATTCCATTGATCAATCACAATGAAAGTGACCTGCACCGTCCGGGAATTGAACCCAAATCACCCGATTCACTGTCCACAGTAGCTCTACCTATTGAGCTAACCAGATGGCCCCAACAAATATGTTATGTCATAAAGACCCGACATAAGATCTGTATCAGCAGTAAATGCAGGGGGCAATGGTGAGTACATGTTATTTCTCTACCTTCATTGGTTCCTCTCTATGCCAACAAACTGACATTCCTGGGGCACCAAGGGGAAACTTCAACTGTTTGTTTCCATCTCTATCCCAGATCTGGCACCACCTGTCATCCCCTACACTAGCAAGCTGGTCTCCCGTGTCAGGGTCAAAGGTCACTGAATTCACAAAGTCTGTGTGTCCTTCTAATATCTGAAATTGAAAAAAATAATCAGTGTAAATATCGTTGCTGACTTTTTTTGAGGGACAGAGGATGGGTCATCACATGGGTTTTTGACTTGAACACAATATTTGACACTAGAAATCACATCTTTTAATGAGAACATACACATTGTTTGTGGACCAGTGTATGCTACAAGGTAATCACATACCTTAACCAGCTAAATATCTTAAATGGACTTGCCAACATGGACAAAACCATTCAACATATTAAGGGAAATTTTTCAAAATATGTACAGGCTCACTGAATTAGACACAAAACTAACAATGAATAAGCTTCTAATGAAAACATATTTCGGTGAATTTCATGCCAGGGGTCTACATCTGTTTTTTTAACATTTTAGAATTCAACCATTCTTAGTAAACATTGTTATTAAAAAAAATCAAAACAAAATTTGACAAGACAGACAGTCAAGCATTTTTTCTTCAAAATATGTACTGTATATACATGTAGCAGCCCTATGAAAATTAAAACAATACAAGAATATTTACTTCTACGGAGTCATTTCCTTTCAAATCTGTGGTAAAAACCCGAATTCTTCTGTCACTTCCAGCTACAGCAAATCTGTAACAAATATGATTTCATTGAAACAAATTACAACATAAAGTGCCTTCCATAAATACCTTTACAACTTTTGGATTGATATACAGAGTATCCAACCCCATTTCAGAGATATTGCATAAGAATGAATGACTACTGTAACCGTAATAAGCAAAGAAGAGTGACGGCATGGCCAAGTGGTTAACACTTCTGATTAGTGATCTAAGACTCGTCGACTGCCTTGTTTCTATGAGTTAGAAACTTATTGCTCAGTACTGTTGAGATCCAGGAACAGATTCAAGAGTGTGTCTACATTAAAGTTTCCTACTCAAGATATATTCTGAATAAACTAAACAAAATTTCAAATTGGAAAGAGAAGAGGCCTATTACAGCCCGCTGTTATACAAGGTGAAACATCATTGATAGCCATGTTAGAAGTGTTTCACATTTATCCAGTTAATCCTTGATTCATATAAAAAAACATTGTTCACTCATTTATGAAATTCTAGGAAAATACTTTTGAATGCTTTTCATAATCTTTGCAGATATGCTGACCCAGCGAATCTTCTTACATTTACCTGAGAACTTTAGGCAAGGAGGTGATGGTTGTTTCTGGACTCCATGCTATTGCTGTTGCCCGGCAACCATTCTGAAATTCAGCGAGTCGTTCATAGTCAAAATCTTCAACATCATCGTCCTCTTCCTGAAAAAGAAAAAATCACATTAGACTTATCATAACTCTTATCATTGTCCCATGTAATTTTGTTGGAATATTCCAAATTGTTTCATTTTGACCAATCATTGGGTTTTCTCACTTAATTGGGAAGAAGCTTTTATCTCTTGATTTTGGGAAAAGATATTCTTAAAATTGCTTAGTTGGGATGTAAAAAAGCCGGCTAAGTTCAGATTTTTTGGGAAAACTGCATAATTTTAAAGAAAATTTCCTTTGGGAAGAGTTATCTTTTATTAAAGGTGAAAAATCATGACAATTAAAGTAATAATAATTATGCAGTTTTTGGTAATGAAATTTTCTCAGAGTTTATGTTTATGTGAGTATGCTATAAATAAAGATTTCAATATAAGACAAAGAAAGGGGCAATTGGGACCCAGACTGAGAGTTCCTTGTATCCCAGTGTGCACTACAGTCAGTTTTCTATAAGTGAGTTCTATTCTTTTGACATGTAACTGTTAAAAAAAAACTTTTCTGTATCATTTGCCACTAATGCCCACTATTGCCCTTTTTATCAAGTTTCATACACTTTAGACTGAAACTATGTCACTGATGAGAATCTAAAGAACAGAGCAAGCATTTTAGTTCATTTGTTCAATTTGTGAAATGTTCAAGTTCTTTCATACTTACCAGTGTACAAGTGATTTTACCTGTGGAAATATGTTGGTAATTAAAATGGGTTGAGTCTGCAATTACAGAAATGTTTATCCCTTATGGAAGCATTTGACAGCTACAATATATAAGCAAATTCCTGCTATCCCCTTTTATTGGAGCTAACTAATTAATGGTATCTGGTGTTCAACAGTCTCCAGTATCCAAAGGGACCTTCTCCCCTACATAATGAACCGTTAGTTTTAAACTGTGACATACTCCCCTGCTACATTGAAGTTCATCCTTGAATATCTCAGGGTTGCAGAGCAAATTGAATAAAACTCTGATTTCATGTAGTCATGGCACTATGTTAGGTGCCAAATGTCACAGGCTGATAAAAATAAGCAGCCAGACCAGGACTTAAACCAGGATTCTCAGAGTAATGTTCTGCATCTCTACAAACTGAGTTATCTGGCTGCTTATACATCTTCTCCCCTAATTAATAGTAAACAGTTCTGAACCAAGACATGGACCATTGACTTGATCACCTCATGTTCAGCAGTTATTTTCATTGTGTTCAAGCACTAAATGGAGTTAATTAATGCCTGTCAGAAGGCAATTATTCTTGCTATTTGCAAATAACAGTTGCTGACACTGTATGATTCGTTTTTTGTCAGAATAATATTTTCACATGGACAAAATCATCTCTCGAATGCCTCTGTGGCAGTCATGTGTTTCCAAGACAATGTCTGGGACATTTTGGGAGGGTAGTACTAGTGAATGGAAATTGATGTTGTGAATGGAAAGCTTCGGCTCTGGTGAGCTAAAAAACATTCAAATGCAAAATCCCAGGTGCATAGCTTCATAGTGATGTTGATCATTATTCCTGCAAAGTTGGTTGATTCTAACTCAAGCACTCATTGAAGGAACAAATAACACAACATGATAAAACAGTTTTTACTCAGTCAAGGGCAACAACTCTACAAATACTTGATAAAATACATTCTTTGAAATCTAAAATTCGCCTTTCTGTCTTTTATGAATGAAAACTTATGAATGGGAGCGAATTGTCTTGATGTCATTATGTGAAACATCTGTCTACCATAACAATGTAAGTCAATTTTAATTCAGGGTTCCCGCTGTCGGTCCTTGCCAATGGCACCAAATGCCCAAAATATTAATTCTGGCACATAAAATCTTTAATTGGCAAATTTAAGTGGAGCCACCATACGATAAAAGTATCCGACAACTAGTACACTTAAATATCACAAGCGGTCGCATCAATTACATGTAAAGCGGCCCAAATGTGAAAGGTCACACGCTATTAGTTTGTTTATCAAACTATATCATCAATTATGTCATCAATAGTGTGACACTTCGGGAATATGTCAAGATGAAAGTGTCAATATGTTAATTAGAACAATTTACGTCTTTACTTATCTGACTTGGAGCACTGATAATTACATGTGTGGTCAACTGGTGTTAGTGGCGAATCAGAGAAATGAAAGATCTTCCGTGATGTTAACAAACATTGAACTTTATGTAAGTTGACTCGTCAACTGATTAAAAATAATTACACTTTGAAATGTTAAATCGGATGACAATTAAAAGAATAATTTCACTAAAGATTGATCTAAAGCCACTTTTAACTGCAGTGTTAATATCTTAATATCTGCATGTAAAGTGCTGAAGTGTCTAATCACATGCAAACCCTATTAAAAAAACAATATTCTTCACTGTTAAAAAGACTTACCGGTAGTATCTATTTCATTTTTTGATCTCAGTGATTTTAAGATGAAGTCAGTTTACAGTAATGTTTTTTTTTTTATTTTGTATCTGTAGATCATCAGAACGTCAGGTAGAAGCTGGAAAGATCTTGGCTCAGTTCAGTCAGTGAGAGTAAATAAGTGATAAGAACTGCTATAGGCAACAAGAGCTGTCACAGGAGACAGCCAAGCTCGACTAATAAAATACTGGACGCAGTAAGCAGGACAAAACTATGAAAGAAAAATCAATTATGTATAATTATGTATTAAGTTATAGTAAAAAAATAACATTTGTTAAAACAAATTCCAAGATCAAGGGAAATAATTCTAGAAATAGTCACGCTAGAGTTATGAACCTTGTCACACAACATGTATGTAATGATAAGAAGTATATATTTGAAGTTTGAATTAGATACCTTAAAAAGAAACAAAGTTATAATATTTCTTAAAGAAAATCCTAAGTTCAAAGAGAGATAAATCTGTAAAAATTACTTCAAGAGTTATGAAGATTGTCACATATAATATAATTGATTATAAGGAATAAGTATTTAAAGTTTGAGGTAGATACCTTTAAAACTAAAAAGGTTAGAGTAAAAAACAACATTTTCTAGTAAAAAAATCTAAGTTGATGGGGAGATAATTCTTGCAATATTGGTGCTAGAGTTATGAACTTTGTCACATAAGATGTGGATGATGATAAGGTACATTTATTTGAAGTATGAAGTTGATCCCTTTAGAAATAAATAAGTTACAGTAAAAAATAATATTTTTTAAAGAAAAATCTCAGTTCAAGGGGAGATAAATCTAAAAATATTGGTGCTAGAGTTATGAACCTTGTCACATAAGATGGAGATGATGATAAAGTACATATATTTTAAGTATGAGGTTGATCCCTTAAGAAATAAAGAAGTAACAGTAAACAAGAGCTGTCGGTAGGACAGCAACGCTCGACTATTCTTAGTGCTTGATAGTAAAAAAAAATGCTTGATACAATTACCTCCTCCTGTTTACAGGTTGGGGTAATGATGGTGAACAAGTGTGCAAAGTTTCAAAGCCATATGTCAATGGACTTTGAAAATATTTGAACTATTACAAAAACTTTAACGTAAATTCTAAGTCGAAAAAGGGGCATAATTCTGTCAAAATGCTTGATACAGTTACCTCCTCCTGTTTACAGGTTGGGGTCATAATGGTGAACAAGTGTGCAAAGTTCCAAAGCCATATGTCAATGGACTTTGAAAATATTTGAACTACTACAAAACTTTAACGTAAATTCTAAGTCGAAAAAGGGGCATAATTCTGTCAAAATTCTTGATACAGTTACCTCCTCCTGTCTACAGGTTGGGGTCATAATGGTGAACAAGTGTGCAAAGTTTCAAAGCCATATGTCAATGGACTTTGAAAATATTTGAACTATTACAAAAACTTTAATGTAAATTCTAAGTCAAAAAAGGGGCATAATTCTGTCAAAATGCTTGATAGAGTTACCTCCTCCTGTCTACAGGTTGGGGTCATGATGGTGAACAAGTTTGCAAAGTTTCAAAGCCATATGTCAATGGACTTTGAAAATATTTGAACTATTACAAAAACTTTAACATAAGTGGTTACGCCGACGCGGACACCAACGCCGACGCCGACGCTCGGGTGACTACAATAGCTCTACTTATTCTTATCGAATAGTCGAGCTAAAAATAGTATTTTTTAAGGAAAATTCTAAGTTCAAGGGGAGATAAATCTAAAAATATTGGTGCTAGAGTTATGAACCTTGTCACATAAGATGTGGTTGATGATAAGGAACATATATTTGAAGTTTGAAGTTGATACCTTAAGAAATGACAAAGTTATAGTGAAAAATATTTTATTGCACCAAAACTTTAATCTGAAATCTGGACGCGGACGCCAGGGCGAGTAGGACAGCTCTCCATTTACTTCGTATAGTAGAGCTAAAAATGGTGGAAAACAAGACCTCCCAACCTCATTACTGACTAAACATGATGCTTTGATTACTTTTATGTGCATTTATTTAAATTGAATTTGAAAACCACATAATACTTACTATGTCTATATTTTAGATAATAAACATGTTGCAGCTGTAATAAAATGAAATATCATGAATATGTGTACTGTTTGTAATCATAATGATACAGTCTTCACGAAAAACTTTAAAAAGAACAGGACATTTGGGCCAGTAAAATATCAAATCTTACTGGACCTGATGATTTTTAGCCGGACCAAATACATTGATAGGTAATAAATTGATGGGTACAGGAAAACACTTTATCATGCTTCCCTTGATAATTTTGAAAGAAGCATAATACGTCTTGTATTCTTGGCACTATGTTGACAGCTTTGAAAAATATTTAAGGACCAAATGTTTAGGCTAAATTGACTTTAATTGAACATGAACAAAGCAATTAGCTTCAAACAAATCACTTTCACACAAAATATTTACTTAACTCAATAATCACAAAATCATAGCTAAATAATGACCATAATAATCGATGGTTTAATTTCCGTAACTGTAAGGTGCGGTACGTAAAATATCCAAGACAAAAATGGCGGCCTCCATTACTCAATGCAATTTAGACATCTCTCGCTGTGTTTTGAACATTTAGGACAGAATTGATGGGTTTCATTTGCAAAAAAAGCAAAAAGATTAATCTTTTAGAGAACCCTGCTTCATTATTTTGATGAATTTTTCTTAAAATATTTTTCATGACAAAAAATCTATAGGTCCGTCGGACCATCAACCTTGCAATAGTCACAGGACCGATGCTTAATTTAGTGGCCTCGGACTGGCGTTAATTTCGAAGACTGATGATATAAAATGAAATTAGGTGATAACTGCTAGCATATCTTAGAAAAGATAGGCATGTCTCCCTTGCAAAATTAATGGCTCCAACTTTGGAGCTATTGCCAGTATTGGCTTCAACTTTTTCTGATTGGCGAATTTGTTGGCGCAAACTAATTTTGACCAAAAAAGAGAGAACCCTGTAAATGTGTGACGTCACACGTACTGTGTTAAATATGTCTCCGCCCCTGTCGTGAAATGAATAACGAGTTTTGAAAATGTTGATAATAACCTTGTTTATTTTATTTCACTCTATATTTTTTCAAGCGAAATAAAGATTATTTACAGTGAAATAAATGTAAAACTTAAAACGTTTGCGACATTAAAATAGCGTACTTGATATGTTTGTTTTGCACATGCTGTTTGGCGCTACATTGTGACGTCACGTAAACAATACTTTAAACGTCTGTACAGCGTTAACGACTGAATAAAAGATATTGGTGTTCGGATTCATTTTCTTAGTTAACCCATTTTCTTTCATTCTAGATAGTTTTCACAACAAAATTCGTCAAAAAATTGTTTTTATTTATCAGATTTCAAACAAAATGGCGCCTTTGATTTTCATTTTATCATTCGATATTTTATACACAGCTTCTGTTATTCTGGTTCCCTGTCTAATTATGGTTCCCATAGACGTGCGCGGGTGACCAGTCTACACATCCGTTTTCAGTCAGAATTCCTCAGTTTTTATCGTTATCTTTAAATTCGAAAGGTTGCGATGTGTCCAATTCGGTACTTTTGACGAAAGTTTTCAAAATCATCACTTAGCAGGTACTCGCGTTACAGTAAAGCTCGCTTTGCGAGCAGGCCCTTCGGGTAGTCCAACTTATTGTACTCCGTGACGAGATATTGTGCTATTTTCGTGTCTGGGCAATATCTCGCCTCTACGTACAACATAAAAAGTACCTTTTCTGTGGTGAAATTTGCGCCGGGATTTTGAGCGCAAGCTTTGGATCGTCTAAAATCGTATTAGAATTCATATTTTAATAAATTTGTTACGATACCTTTAAAGATTATTCATTTCTACATCAATTTCATGTTTTATTTGTGAAAATATTCCTAACATAAAGATTTTGATAGAAAAGTAAACACAATGAACCATCAAAATACAGACATCGCCGCTAATGTCACGTGACAAAAACACTGTTGATTACTACACTGGTGTGTATGCGGTACTGCGTTACTGAGAAACGCCGTAACACTCTTAGTAAAATATTAAGTTTTAATGTTATATTTACGCAAAAAAAACTATGAAAGGATGAAAATATTATTTTATTGGGGAAGATGCAAAAACTTATTCGTTATTTTTAGAGCGTTCTTAGAAATATCAGAATTACATTATCTTTTTAGAAATGCCTACTCTGTAAATGGACTCCTCACAAAAATATTTTCTAGTTAATAAAAAAATTATTTCGTTCAGCTTTCCCAGTAAATATACGGACATGGACCTATTGGTAACTTTAGATTTTTTCCCCACGATTATTGATGACAAATAGGAATATGTTAATAGCAGAAACACAAGGTTTATATGTTTAAAGAGCAACGAACGGATTCCTAGTGCCTTAGCGACTACGAGAGGACGCCATTCTAAGGAATTTGACAGTCTGTTATTTATATTAATGTTGATTAACTATTAAACGATATTTTCAATTTCAAAATATTTTTATCAATAATAAAACGAATAAATTTCAAACGCGGTATAAAACGAATAAATGTCAAACGTGTGCCTCGACATTATACATGTATGTGCGGAAACAACATTCCATGTGATTTTTTTATTATTATTTTCTTAACCACGCAGGTCCATAATTCTTGCTAGTTTATTCCAAAAAGCTTTCTGAAAATTATTTTCGAAAGAAAAACACACACACGCACACACACGTAGGTATGATATTGTTTTAAAAATGACCGGTGGTACAGGGCAAAATACTCGGAAATTTATTTCATGAAACAGGTGCCCGCTTCATTTTTTTTTGTTGTTGTTTTTTTGTTTTTGCAAAAGACTTTCATAATGTTGGTATACAGTAAAGATTTATTCCATACATTTCACTTTTATGGCGTCTTAGAAAATTATTTACACATGGCGAAGTGCGATTTGAAGAATCAAGGCGGTTATTTTACAATGTTACATAAACAAAACGCTGCGCCACAGAGGTGTAGGGTGTGGAGCTCAAAACGATTTAAAAAATAAAGAAATGCATATTTGTCAATCCCAGCACATGTACTGATCAATGTATATATATTATATATATAAGAATACTTAATATAAGCCGATTTGAAAAAAAATCATATTTCAACGTCTATAATAAATACACAAGATAAAAATGTTCGCCGGAAAAAAAAACCGCAAATCTACCGTCAAAAACACCATGTATTTTATTCCGTTTCCAAATGTTCACATAATCCTTTGGCCCACAGACACAGAAGATATAATTTTTCATGATGATGGTCAATTTTAAACTTCCACATCAATATAAACAACGCAACAGCCGAAATAAACATCGAAATTATCGCCGTTTTACTCCATTTACAAAATCTTTTGACAAATTCAAACGTGGCACCCCAACGTTGACAAATATACATTTCATTTGGATTTTAAAGGCGTTTTGAGTTACACACCCAAAGTGTCTGTGATTTCTTTGATTCTTGTCCAATCATATAAGATTTAAGGGTTATGCAACACGTTTACTAATTTTAAACAATAATATGATACAGATTGCTACTGCCCTAAGTATTAAAGTTGTTGCTTTGGAAAACGAACTTTTAAAATCGGCAAGAAAACACGGCGCCTCTTCAGTTCTTTTTTTCCAATAATTTTTAACATTCTAGTGAATTTAGATAGAAAACCAGAAAATAGTTTCTAAATATTAAATGTCACAACTCAAAACTTAAAAAGTTGGTATATCTTGCGTTAATTCAGAGCCGGGAAAATATACAGAGGAAACTCGTGGCCGTAACACATTTAAATTCTTACCACCGTTTAAACAATTTTCATAAATGAATTATAGAAAGAAATTAAAGCATAAGATCATCGTCTTTAAAATGAATCATCAAGTATATTTATAATTATAAATTGAAAAATAAATATATGTAATTACAATCTAAAAATAACTTTTTTTCTTTACAATTTGGACCATGTCAGCATGGAAAATTGTTTAACTGATTCCGGATAGGAATCACGGCTCTAATTTAAATACTTTTCTTTAAATCAAATTTATCTAAAACTTAATCTTATAAATTTTAAGTTGACACAAATAATTTAAGCAAGGAAGAAACAGAACTGCGCAGTGTCAACATTTCCGAAGTGTATATTGGTCAGCGTACCGGTGTCGGCGTTGTGGAATAGTTGACACGTAACGTTTCAAAAATAAATACATGGTTGATATATTTTTCTATTCCGGAACAAAAACTTTTCTGGGAACATCGCTTAAACAACACCCAAATACCCAGGCCATTACGGCATGCTATGATTATAGTCTTTTATTACAAGGATAAATGGTACATGTACACGCAGACAAACGAAAAATGGGCGCGCTCGGCGTAACGAGTTTTACTTTTCTGAAAACTGTTGAGAAAGGAAAAATTAACGCAAGAATTACCATTTGAATTCAAAAAATCTTTCATAGCGTAATGCACGTTTGGAAAACAAATCTTTCTAGGCAAGGAGTTGCTGATTTTAATACGCAGCAAGTTGTAACTAACATAATTATTCTAACATAGATAATACTACAGAGTGGTGACAATATAAATTTTAATGAAATACAGTATTTGTTTATCCTTTAATAAACATGTTTATAAAAAAGAGGTCTAAATTAAAAGTTTCTCCGCATCATTTTAAAGATTTCAATCAATTAGAAAAAATAGTTAAAGCTTATTTCCTGGCGATTTATTTTAATGTAGCAATAAATATAATTAATAATAACAACATTAAAGAATAATAAGCACTGTTTAACAGTTTAACAGTTTTTTCATATTTTTTTTTGTCACGCAAAAAAAATGACAACATTCACGCACGGTACCGAACAATATCGATTTTTAGCGTACATGTTACATTACTGTAGCAACATCACAATATGGCGGCGTTGGTACACAAACGAGACGGTGAAATGAAACTAACGTGGTTTACTTACTTCTAAGTTGATAGTCTAGCACTTTTTGTGCTGTTGATTCCTTAAAATTGTATTGTTGAATAGATTCTTAGTTTAAATTGTCTGCATTATTACATTAACATCGAAATCCACGTTTTCACCACAGAAAGGTCTCCTTTTGGTTTTGACGTTAAAGCGAGATTCTGCCCCAGAACGAAAATATCTCAGAATCAAGCTTTGGCACGTCAATATATTTTGACTAGCCCTTCGGGCCAGCTCGTCGAGCTCGCTATTACAGATAATACTTGTTTACGTTTTTGAATATGTAATCTTTTAATTCTCTTAGGAGACTTGTTTGAAAATTTTATCAGTTTATGGGATTTTGTTTTTCATAATTCTCGTGAAAACATGTGATAAAACAATTATACCTTGAATTTACAAAGGTATACTGAAACTTTCGAATCTGTACCCGCGGCTAGAAGATGGGAACTTGTTTCTGTATTACAAAATTCAACAACATATGTTATATCTTCAGTAGGTATCTCAAAATCTGGATTTTTACCAGATTCTATCATTTTAATTTTTATTTTTGCCGGCTACCTTCTTTGAGAAGAGTTCTATAAGACCACTAAATTATTTCCGTTTGACAGTTGAACACCACCATAGTTTTTATAGCGTCAAGCTGGAGTCTTACATTTTTGGTAAGTAATCAAATGGACTAAATGAATTTCGACTAGACCTTTAAGCTTCTGCATATGAACTCTAATTTTTGGTTTATCTCCCGAATGAGAATTTGACATTTGGATGGATTTGATTCCATATTACACTCCGACTTCGGAGTGTAACTGTCCCGTTTGTAGATGGCAGTGCAAGGTTTATTAATTAAGGACCGTCCTAACAATGAAAACGTACTCAAATGTATTTCTGTGAACTTTATTACAACATTATCTCCTCTCAAACGGGAATTTTAAATGCACAATTTAACTGAAAGAAAAAAACTAACGTTAGATAATATCATAAAGTAATATACCTAATACATATTGATAAATTGTGACTAGGCCACATTTGTGAGTACATTAATTAATTGTTTTAATCAGGGTCTTTTAAATAGAAATTTGAAAGACCCTGTTTAAATCTATATCCCTTGTCTTAAAACACAAGCTCGAATGACGCATAATTCCTGTATGTTATACAGCACACATTTAAAACATAAATTGCAGGTTTAGTATAAAAACATTTTTATTTGAAAATTAAGAAGACACAACTGCTTCGCTCTAAGCACATGATATGTGTATTTATCCATTTCACGTGAAGTTCTTCAACTAGTTATATTACAATAAATTTCATGTTGAAAATATCACATCAGGTGAGTAGTCTTTAATTGAAATGATATAGGTAACATTTTTCCCAATTATGGATCCGCTCCCTCTAAACAATATATTTCTTCTTCCGTTAAATGTTCTTTCAAAAATTCAAGAGTTTTATTCCACAATTCCTCTTGCTTTATCTCATCCCTAAAACATAACATATTATTTATAAAAATTTCCATGGAAACAATATACAATGTACATAATTATGTGTATATCAAACATATATGGGTGGACGTGTTTCAAAGAAAAAGAAAGCTTAGGGCTTGAGTTGATTTCGTCTAATATTTGAGATACATGTATCTGTTTAATTAAATACAAACGCTTGATTTTTTTATGTAAATAGTGAAACATTTCATTAAAGTAGCCAAACACGAACTTTTGTTTGTTTCTTTATTTTTACGGTGCACCAACACAGTTAAGTAATGATGCCGAAAAAGGAAAGATGATTTTGGCGCCAATCCTCGGATGTTGCAAACTTAAAGCAACACGCGGGGTCAAAACCACCTCACCTCCTGGAAACTAAGAGATGCATTAGACTCAAGTTATATGACCATACAGATATTAAACGGTGGCTGCATATTCTAAATTTCATATAACTTTTTTTCATCGCTTATGAGGGGTCCGTTATAGCATTATATTGTGCCATAAAGTTCAATGTGTTGCCACAACTATTTCAGATACAGACCTAAACACTTTTTTTACCTTGACACTGAGGTAGTTGATGCCGGTTGACAGTCCTTAAAATACACACCACTCATTGATTTCAACTCAGGGTTAACTGCACTGTTAATTATAGTTGTGGCACCGTGTAGTGGAGTCCGCATTAAACCTGCAAGTGTAATAGTAACTCGTTAAGTGGTAACAAACATACAAGAACTATATCATTGGCAGTAAAACTTGCAATAATATCTTAAAATCTATAATCAGGGTGATCCATCGGAAGCATCAAAAGTAACAAAATTACATTGAAATTACAGGATCGGTTTAATTGAGTCTTGAGTCTGTACAAGAAGAATAATGAAAAATGCAATATCCCTCACGCCCACTTGAACGGCTTCAGAGGCACTAAACTTTCAACACTGCAATCAATGATCCGAAAGACAAAAAATATCTACACAGCAAGTGCATATAAATCTTAAATGCTCTTTTTGATTTATGTACATTAAAATACATGCAATAAATGTTTATAGATTTAGTTGTACATCAAAATCTGAAACAGGGGACAACATGGAAGCAAGGAAATATAACAATATATAATACATGTATATGAAAAAACATATTCAAATTGATCGAGTCTGTTTATGATAGATAATATGAAATTGAAACACCCCTCTCGTCCATGGTACCGATGGTATTTAATCTCTAAAACTAGCGGACTGGAATCAAACTTACTTGTAAGTACAATATCAAAGTACAGGTGAAATGGCAACAAAAATTGAACAAATCTAAAGTTTAACATTACATTACATTGTTTATTTATAAGTACGGTAATCATTACATCAGATAACTATTCTTACGCAATATCTCACAGACCATGCATTATTTTTACTTTGACATTGTGAATATACATGTTTTATTACCCACAAGACGGTTCAATTTGAGGAAAATCTGGTAGGCCGCCATGTCTTTAAATTCAGCTCCTATGTTTGTTTCTACAGTTCCAGGATGCGCACTGGTAACAGATATATTTGAGTTCCGTAACCGCCGATGAAGACAATGCATTTGCATGATCTGTAAAAATGACATTAATAAAACTACAGAAAAAGCAACAACTCTTCGAAATTATTATCATAGTTTAAACTTAACGCATGCTTCCATGCTAAAACACAGTGATAGAGTGTGTCCATAGGCTTAGCTATAGCTCCATTGACAATCAAGTTAAAGTAAGTTTTATATAACACAAATCTGTATATTCAACGTTACAATGTATATAAACCAGAAACAAATATTTACAATTACATTGTATTTGGGACCCGACCCTTTTTAATATGAATTAAATAGAATAATCTATAATTTTAGCCTTCCTGGCAAGAATGCATCACACGTTTAGAGTCAGACAAGCCAGTGATCATTGCAATATCACAATATTCTCCTAACGTATCTATTACATGTATTGTATTGTCTAACCATCCATAACAATGAACAGTGTCATACTCGAGGTTGACTGAATATCCATTACATTTATCAAGAGAGGAAAAATCTTTATAGCACTATTCCTGTAAAGGGATAGGTTTAGTAAATCTGTACCTGGTACAGCTTTGATCTACCATAATAATCCAAAAACCCAAACTGTGAAGGATCTCCCTTGTAGTTAATACCTTCTAGACTATATCCACATAATCTGAAAACGTTAAGGATGTTTATACATGTTTAACGTCATTTAAATAAAGCATGTTGTGCCCGATGTACTAATTTAAGGACCAATAACATACAATCTGTACGCGCAAACTGACTACCTTCACAAATGTATTGCAAAAACTAAAACCTTATTTATATTGATTTTAAAATTAACCATTTTAATACAGTTTGACTATTTTATCAACTACATTTTGTAAACAAAATATGTTTGACATAAGTTCCATTCTCATTTAATGTTCTGATGAAATCTCCAGTCTTGTTAATTGTGGGAGAATAATGTTGGATCTTGAAGATAACGAAGAAGTAAAGTTTGATTGATTAAAAGAAGCACAATAGAGAAGAACTGAACTCCTAAAGAACGTCCAAAAGAGGAAATTGAAAATGTTGCAGCATCGTTTGATTGGATCTGTTCATGGACGGTAGTGGTATTTGCAAGTCACAGTCCACGCCTCCTGGCACCGGCCTAAACAGACATGAAAATGGTGAAATTTTGAATTAAGAAACATCCGAAAAAACAAAGCTTACTTGTGAGCATCACTTGATACAAGAATTATTCTGCTTTCACTCTCATTCCCTTTCATCATAGGTAACAGCTGACTTATCATAAGAAAATGGCTGAGATAATTCACCTGAATCAAACAAACATGCCATTTCTAACAATCTGATTTAACAGCAATCAAAGCATTTGAGCTTATCAGTATTTAATTATCTCTCATAAATAATACAAGCAGGATTATCATCATAACATATTATGTAAAATAAGTTATTTGATGCTTTTGTAGAAGGCTTTATTAATTCAGAAACTTGCTTTAAAGTAAAGAAATATTAAAGAAAAAGTTAATTAAAAATTTAAAAAATGTGATTCTAAGCTACAATGGCTTTATCAATTGTGTATTGTGGTATTTGTGAAATAATAAAGCTTCTCTTACTTCTTTACTTGATCAATCGTATTCTCTGATAGTTATTGGACAATACAATTAAAACACAATTAATTCTTACTAAAGTCAGTGACGAGTGAGTAACAACGCAAATAATAAGAGGCCATTTTTCTGTAAATTGTTTACCTGCAACATATACTCGTACCCGTCATTTGTCTGTTCTGAAATAAAATGGAAGCACACATTTGTTACTAGAAACTGGAAAATATGTTGTTCACATATCTTTCATTTTGCAGAAATATAGGAATTGTATGTACATGGATAAATATAAAAAGCAACAACTACAGGATATATTATATAAGTCTCTTACGATGGAATATCAAATTATTGATGATTTATTGAAACAGCCAAAGAATATGATAAACAAGATCAACCAGGAAAGGCGGCGTTCAATGAACGCAACAGCTCACGACCCAGCAACAAGAATTAGTGGCAATGAGCCAATGAGGACCCCAAATACCCATGGCAAATGTTAAAATTGTGTGACAAGGTTTTAAAACTTTCCTACAGTTTTTTGCGAACATCTAAAATGACAATACATTCGTCTGTTAATGACTGCCTTAAAATTTAAACTAAAATGATCAAACAAATAAAGTTTCTTTCCTCTTTTCCGATTCTTCTTCGGTCCTATAGTGTTTTATATGTGAAATCGTGTGATATATGGCAATGATAAAAAAAGAATGATCAATTCTTAGCTTGAACTGGGACGAGAAGTACATGTAAAATGTTGGGCTGTAAGATAGAATGTCAATGAGGTGAAATAAATTATTAGCATTACCTGGTTTAGCTTTACTTATTCCAGCATTACAAATTAACACGTGGAGTGGTCTACCAGATTCTTTATATGCTTGAACAAACTCCTTAGTGGATTGGAAAGAAGACATATCTAGTTTCATGAAGACCAGTGATAGTTCTGCAACATCTACTAGTCCAGGAGTTCCTTTCTCTTTCTCCTCTTTATATTCTTTGTCCATTTGGCGCATTGCCTACCCGAAAGCAGAAAATAAAAAGTTGCATCAATACAACATGCTAGTCTAGGAGATTAACTTCTTCATTGTTTCCATATCAGAAACCCATTAAAGAACATTTATTTTAATTGTCCGATGAGCAAGAAATAATAATAAAAATGAATGTGCTTTGATTAAATTTATTTCATAATATTGTGTGTTTTTTGCTTTGACACTAAATAGGCAAGACAATTAAACACTACCATTATTGTTCTTGACACAAAGCAGTGAAAAGCGTATGAAAATCTCTAAGTCATCTAGTCACTTTATCATAAAGCATCAAGACAATGATGAAAAAGATTCTTTTACACAACAAACTTACAAACGGTATTAAGATAATTAATAAAACTGCGCATATTTCTACAAATAACAAGTACATTGTCATGACCTTTCCTCGGAAGTACCTTGTAATTTGTATCTCAGATTACACAATCGTCATATGAAAAACATGTTACCATCTGGTAGTTTTTTGTTTAAAAATGTACCATATTTAAAAAGGCCACGCAGCTAACCGAATGTAAACAATATGTTAGAACATATAATAGCCTAAGGGAAAGGTTGTTCCAAAAGCGTCTTTCAATAGACATGCATGTATATGTGACCTTAACCAAATATTTAATATATTTAATCCAGCTCCTAAAACGCTACACTTCATATAAGAAATAAGCAGATCTGAACCATAGTCAAATTGATATGTGTAGATTTGTAAGGTTTACCTTCATTGTATCATCCTCAGATCTACATGCCATTATGACAGTCCCGCCCATCATTGCTATCCATTTTGCGACTTCATATCCAATACCTTATAATATACCAAATAATATCATTCATTCAGATAAAACAATTGGAAATCAGGATCAATTAAAATGTTATTTTTTTTTCTCTCTCTAGATCTCGTGTTATGTTGTACACATTAGCCATTTTAATTGTTATGATGGGCAGCTATCTTAATTATAATATATGCTCTCTTAACTCACAAAAGCTTAATTGTTGTTTAGAATAACACAGGTGTGAACAAAAATATTACACTATAATGCATTGGTAAAAAAACAGTTAGAGCATTTAAACACATAGTGCTTGTAAATAAAAGAAAATAGTTTCTTTAAAGAAGAGCATGGTAGCTTTAGACTCATGCACAATAACAGAATAACTTGGCTAAATTGTATGCATATATTTATAATTCAAAATGCTGAATTTTCATTAGATCTACTTCGGTTACCTATTATATCATCTTTTTATTTTTTCCTCAATTACATGTACTTTAAACATGCTTATTTTTTAAGATTTAAAACAATCAAAAGATAGCAAACATATAACATGTTAATTTCAATATAAGGAGAAAACAGAAAAGGGATGAATGTCGTACTAATTCGTATAATTTTCTTCCTAAATGATTTGATTTATTACAGACAATCACGTAGCAAAGAATACTTACGCTCACTACAATTTAAGTTCAATGTAACAACATTCTTCCGTTTGCTCCTGTAATAACAAATGTTCTATCCGAAGGTATTTGTACTCTAGGAAAAGAAAACAACATACCTCTATTTGCTCCTGTAACAACAAATTATCTACCCGCAGGTATTTGTACTCTAGGAAAAGAAAACAACTTGCCTCTATTTGCTCCTGTAACAACAAATGTTCTACCCCAAATGTATTTGTACTCTAGGAAAAGAAAACAACTTACCTCTATTTGCTCCTGTAACAACAAATGTTCTACCCGAAGGTATTTGTACTCTAGGAAAAGATTGCTTAGCCCCCATACCAACACATAAATAAATTAATATTACAAAAAAAAAACTTGTATCTCTATAAACTCTCTTAGAATGTTGTATTACTGTATTAGACGAAGTTTACAATTTTATGTTATTGGTGTATATTTATCACTTTTAATACCCAATAGATTTATTTATATTTGATACAGACAGTTATGTTATCTCACTTTGATATAGTAGTGAAGGTTTTGAGTTGATTTGATATGACCTTACACATGTACAGTTTTAGTTTAGATATTAGACCGACTTTTATCGTATTTCTAGATTGTATGTACATATAAGATAGTAGTGTATTTATGATTTTGCTCGTTTTACTTTAGATACTCTATCTATTATATATATTTTCTCCATTGTCAATATTTCTGAATAATATAATATTTTCAGTAAAAAAAATAAACAATAAATCGTTTATAATGTGTATAGTGTATATCACACATACAAATACACTTATATCGGAGAAAACAATATATATATATATATGTTCATTGCAATTTTGGCACGAAAAGGCAAAGGTACAGCCTTTCACAGCCCAATGTGTCAAAAACTTCAAACTTATTGTCGTAAACAAATGTAATTTGTGAATACTTTAAACGAACGCACTTGGATAGGTTTTCCCGCTGACGCGGTTAATTACTCCTATTATCATTATATACAAGAAACACAGAAATGAAAAGTTGGTACGTCGGTTAGATCTGATATTTTTAACGACACTTTCAACTTATTGCAACAAATAAATTGTTCGATTAAAGGGGTAACAGCTTTTCGATAATATGATCTTACAAGGTACTTGTGTTCCTTATAACAGAAACGTAGGGGAAATAACAAATTTCAATTTCGCGGACAATTACTAGCTCGTACATTGAAATGTCAAGGAGCTCTGCTATATAAATCTTTGTAGTTTTCACTGACTTTCGAATCAGGCTTTTCCCAAAGATTCTTGCATTGTCTTGTAAACCTCTTTTTAGAAAGCCAGGAATTTCCCTCCTCATCAATATGCGCCAATATGATTCTGCTGTATTAAAAGTATTTACAGATGCTAGTATAAAGTAAAGGAATCGCGTTTTAATAACTAGTTTAACTAAGATTTTTATTAAGATGAAACGATTGGTCATTTGCTTTCAACCCATTACCCGATATACACGCCTTTAAACGCCCTTGTCACCGCCTCCTTCTCTTGTTGTCTCAAATGGTGAAAAAAATGCCTTATTCAGGCCCCCAACACTGGTTTTTGTTTGAGAAACGTTGTTTAAAAAAGTGACCACTTTTTTTAGGTGCGGCCCCCAAACCAAAAGATGCATCAGCGGGTTGCCAAAAGGGGGATGTGCCCCCTTCTATTTGGGGGGTTTGAAGGGGGCGGCAGTCCCCCTCATCGCCAAGAAAATTTTGGACTTGTGAGAGGCTAAAATGACCCCAGATCGATCATAAGGTAACGTGTAACCAAAGCTGAAAAACATTTGACTCTATCTCAATCCATTGAGAAGTTGCAGTACTTTGAAATTAATTTTGATAGAAAAAATCAACGCAAAATAGTTATTTTTGGCAATTTTGAGATGTCCCCTCGTTGCCATGGTAACAGGAAATTTAAGTCTGGGCATGTTGTTACAAAGGCAATGGTCCAGTCAACATTTGTGCCAAGTTTGATTAGTATTGAAGCAGTTTTTATAGTTTTATAGCAATTTGAACTTGTAACGGGAGACTTTTCAATGAAAACATCCATTTTTCACAAAATGCTCAATAAGTAATGGGTTATAACTTTTCTTTATGGAAGTTATATTTTTTAAATAAAATTTAAATTGTACTGACCTATTTAGTATATAAAATGGATTCATTGATGAAAAAAATTCTTATTGAATATTAGTATTTTAAATTATTTCTTTGTACAATAGAAAGGCAGTATTTTAATACCACTTTACTTTGGAAAACCGTCTATTTTTCAGACGAGTATTAAAATTGATCAAGTGTTTGAAATTATTTGAAATAACACCATTTTCAACCTCATATTTCAAAATTTTCTCAGTCTATGGGAGAGGAAACCCCTCCCAGGCCCACCCCAAATATGTTTCCATATCATCTAAATATTTACAAAAACACTAGTGTGTATATATATATATATATATATATATATATATATATATATATATATATATATATATATATATATATATATATATATATATATATATATATATATATATATATATATATATATATAATATATATATATACATTGCCACTCATAATTAAGATGAGCTATGAAACATATCAATTACAATTTTTATCACATGAACAAGATGCTGGCCCAACCTTCGAACATGCACAATTTTCGCCTGTTGCATTATTTTCATCAAAATCTTCCAACCATGCATATGTCAGCCACCCCCCCCCCCCCAGGAAACCATGTTCTGTATCCGCCCCTGGTATTTATATATCACAATCCCGCTGGGAGATCTTATTTGCCACAAGATTGTAAATATCAAACGTATATATGTGTATAATATGGCCTTGTATTATGATTGAATCGTTTTGATAATTTAGTTTGGGTTTATTAAAGATCCTGTGGTTGTTACCACACTTAAGTGAAAACAATTTTCAAACATCGAAGAAGATGTAAAATATGTACTGCAAATATCTGTACACATTATATGTAGTTATTAAAATATATGCATTCATTTCTTATTGAAAATTTTGACATAGACTTTACAGAAAATAATTTTACCTCCCTTAAACTTGAAGCTGTAAATTCTGTAATATCTTTACAAATAATGCTTTTTGTAACTTACAATTTTGATTAATCTTTATTTGAGCATTATATTTATGATATAAAACCGTAAAAAAATTGTGTTACAGGATCTTTGATATAAACTGTATTGTGCTGATACTGTCATAGTCGAAAAAGCAACCGTTATCTTAATTATAACTACATATATGATATTGAATAATTATTTTTTCATTTCAATTCACTTAATGCAATTCAAACTATATAGTTTCTTACTACTTGAACATTTCCATTTTAATATTAGAAATTAATATACGTTATAATCTACAATATCAAAGTTTTCTTTGCTACGTTATTATATTTGCATCCCACTATTTCTTGTAAATGGACGTGCAATGTAATGCGTGTACATCTTAATTAATCCTAACGCTTATTTCATACTTTTTGAATTTAAGTATCCAGTTTGGATCATTTTAAATTTCATATTTGATATATTTTGTCAGAGCATATATACAAGTATAGCTGTCATTATGTTTAACTTAAATGAAATTATCAGGAGATATTTAATACATCCTTAGAAAACAAAACGTATAAAAATGTTGATTACACAATATTGTTGATCTATTTTCCATATGAATACCAACATAATGATTTACACTACATTTAGTTTCATTTAAATCAAATCGCGCGTATCTGCCTGTCTTCAAATTGAATATGCACTTTGTCCGGGTACTTTGTCCGTATTTTAGACAAGGCTGCGGTTTGGTACGGCTGATGCAGATGCAAGACTTGATTTCCACGTGCGTTTGTTTACCTTTGTGTCAAAATCGTTTAAAATGGTTAAAAGTTTGCGTTTTAAAAGGAAAATTCACTAAAGAGATCAAAGTCGTGTAACTTTATGAGTTTTCTTATCTGCGTTCGTATTGGCGAGGGGTTTGACAGGAAAGGAAAAAAGATATGATTCAGAGAGTAGCAATATGGTAACAATTCGTCCCACATTTGATTCGCCCATGTAATAAAAATTGTTAATCACTTTATTTTTGTTAGAACAAAAACATGAACAGGGTAATCAATTTTGTGATTTTATTATTTTTTGTGAGATAAAAAAAAAATGGAAATAAAATTGAAATTAATCAATTAAGCAGAAAAAATATTCAAAAAATTATTATCTAGTCATTTTGAATCAGAAAATCTCCTACCTTCTTAGATTATTAGCTAAAGTTGTCTTGAGATGTGAAAATACCTAGTTACAGTATTCACGAATTCGAAAACCTAGCTAAACGCCGTTTTTTGGTACTTTCTGTTCATAGCTCTGGGGAATTCACGTAATGGAGTGTAATAACGAACTCCAGAACTTTTTGGAGTTTTTTTTTAATTAAAGTGAAATAAAACAGTTATTTCTTTTGTAAGAAAATAATTAAATATCATTGAATGAATAATTGCATACAAAAATTAAGTAAATTCACAAGTTTTCGCAGAAAATAACCTTATTTCAGTGGCGGATTCAGGCCCGCCGGGGCTTCAGGGCTGCAGCCCCCCAGCTCAGCCCAAAGATACGTTTACCAGCTGGGCTGGAATAAATTTTTGGCAGTTTCAAACTTTATTGGCTGTAGTGTACTCCCTTATAAAAACAGTAATTGCTGTCATCCAGTTGTTAATATCCTGCCCTGGGGCTAGTCAAAATATATTGACGTGCCAAAGCTTGATTCTGAGATATTTTCGTTCTGGGGCAGAATCTCGCTTTAAGAGGCGAGATATTGCCCAGACACGAAAATAGCACAATATCTCGTCGCGGAGTACAATAAGTTGGACTACCCTGGGGCTTGGCAGAGATCTTTATCTATCAACATGCTTCAATGACTTCAATGTTTAAACTGCATTATTGATTGGTTTATTACTTTCCAAAGGTCTAATAAAATTAACAGTCACAGATAGTGGCAAATAGATGTGTTACATTGCACACCATATTTTACTACGGTATCTTTGTTTTTCCATTTCCTATAATTAAGAAAATAAAGAAATTGAAAATTATTATTTGTAAATTTAAAAGATGGAAAGTTTTATAAAGATAATATTAAAGGAATTGCATTTTTAATAATAACTTGTTTTACTAAGATTTTTATCAAGATGAAATAATTGGTTATATGCTTTTAATAACTTTTCATGGCAGTTATTAAATATTTTTTAAATAAAATTTAAATTGTACTGACATCTTTAGTATCTAAAATGGATTCATTGATGGAAAAAATTCTAATTGAATACTAGTGTTTGAAATTATTTTTGTTTGTACATTAGGAAGGCAGTATTTTAATACCACTTTACTTTGGAAAATCGTCTATTTAAATTCAGATGAGTAAATTGATCAAGTGTTTGAATTTATTTTTATCAACAGTGGTACATACACTGTTATTTTGTGAATACTCACTACTGAACACTAGGGGGAATTCTTTTTGAAAGACCCTGGCCTGTAAACACTAACCTATACAAAATACATTGTTTTGTAAAACCATCCAAAAAGTACCATAAACAGCACTAGAAAGTCAAGGAAATAACACCATTTTCAACCTCATATTTCAAAATTTTCTAGGTCTATGGGAGGGGACACCCCTCCCAGGCCCACCCCAATTACATATATTTTTTTCTTAATTCCGTATCATCCAAATATTTACAAAAACATAAGTATACTCATATATACATTGCCAATCATAAGATGAGCTATAAACACATCAATTACAATTTTTGTCAAATGAACAAGATGCTGGCCCAATCTTCAATTTTCACCTGTTGCATTATTTGGTCAAATTCTTCCACCCATATGTCAGCCCCCCCAGGAAACCATGTTCTGTATCCGTACCTGTATTTATTATGGAAGATTCCACTACAGCTGTTTTAATTTGATTGATTTTAATTATAAACAATTTTATTTTTTTTAAAAATTTGCAATAGATATTAAAATAATATTGATAAATTTCAAATACATTAATTTTTTCACCTTAAACGGTAAAATAATGATAAAAAATAGAAATATCATGTAACTGTGTTATACTTCATTTGGTGTAATTCCCCAGAGCTAAATCCGCAACATACCGGAAAACGGTGTTTAGCTAGGTTTTCGAAAAGGTCCATAAATTGTAAAATCAAAAAAAAGATCTGGAAAAGAGAGATCTCTCAGAAGCAACAAAATTAGATTAAAATCGCAGACTCGGTTTAATTTAGTCTGTTAGTCTGTTCATTAGGAAACTGAAAAAAGTTCAACATCCATAAAAAAATGCCTCATAGATCCGGCTTAAATGGTATTCAATCTTCAACTCTAAATGATCTGCATCAATAATCCCAAACAACCAGAAAAAATAAAATAACGCCTAAGTTAAGTTTTGGGCAAGTTTTTACAACTGCAACATAGTACTTGATGATCAACTTAACATTTTTCATTACAGATCAGATGATGCATTTTATATGTGATAATGGAAAAGTTAATAAAAGGTAATACATTGCTGGTTGGGGAAGGAGATTTCTCATTTGCTGTTTCCATGGTAGAGAAGTTGCCTGGTAAAAAATGTACATGTATTACAGCAACCAGCTTGGAGACATCAGAGTCTATCCAGAAGCACCAGTATGCCGCAAAGAATATTGATTCATTAAAAGAAAAAGGTATAAATTAAATTTGTTTGGATATTATGGCCTAAAAAAATATATATTCTTGACCTAGAGCAGTGTTTTGGGAAGTGGTGCTAATGAGGTTAGTTTCAACCTTTTACCTCTTGCTGAAATGCCTAGTCAATGCAATGGTTGTCTAAACAGCAAAAATTGAATAGTGGAGGATGTGTGGGCATTTGACTGTCTTAGAATGGTGAAACTAGGGCTTTGGAAATTTTCCTCTATTCCCTAGATGTATGGGTCCAGGCACAGGTGGCAGATTCATGACATATCTACATGTACAGCCTTATTAGTGACTTTTAAAGATAATTGGCATAATGTTTGTTATTTTAAATGTCTGACATTAATTGGCTATACTGGGTCACAGGTCCACTTCAACTTTGATATGTTTTTATTTGACCCAAATGTTTTGGCATTTTTGAATATATATACAGGAGTGACTGTCAGACTTGATACAGATGCCACACAATTACACATCAATCCATTAACTAGAGATGAAAAGTTTTCATCTATCATCTTCAACTTTCCACATGCTGGAGGTAAATCTAACCACAAGAAAAACAGAAAACTTCTCAATGACTTCTTTGCAAGGTATTAATCTACTATATAAAGTTACTTCCTTAATTGACCTTATGCAGTTTTATTTCTTTGTAATTGAATGATTATCAAGATCTCAATGATGTTTTCAATTATATGTCTTTATGTCTGTCAGATATGTATGATATGATAAAAGAATTTAACAATTAGCTTAGCCTAGACAGTGTAAGAAATTCGGATTTAAATTCACTAGGCCGGTCAGACTACCAGATTGGAATATTCACTAGCCCAAAAGACATTTCACTAGCACGATTCATTTGTTCAAAACAGTTGTTTATAGTGCCTCTGAAAATACAGTAGTCTGGTCGGGCTTGTTACTGTAAAAAGTTGGTAGCCAGAGGAGAAATTTAGTAGTCAGGGGCTATCGGACTACTGCTAATTTCGAACACTGCCTAGATGTAACATTATCAGAAGAAAAAAATTAACAGGTTTTGTGGCTGTAAGTTGATATAATCCAAAACTGCCTGGTGAAGGTACATGTAGTACAATGAAAATCTTTAGCATATACAATGTAACATGTTTAAATTCTCTGTGATGAATTTGCAATGTTGCACCATTGCTTTCTTTGATTCATTGACAGATTCTTGTAGCCTGCTGGCAGTTGCAAACTCTACTCATGTGACAAAGATCACCTCGCTTAGATGTGTGTTCTGATCATTGTCTGATTTGTTTGCTATTCAGTAAGGCTCCCACGTTTACAATTTTTTGTAAATGTTTACACGATTGTTAAGAACCGAAACGATACTGTTTAAACGGTGGTACTTCTATGTACTATACTACACCATGTATTCAAGCCGCCAAATGATGACTTACTTTATATTTTTTTATACATGTAGAAATAAATAATGTGCAGGGCTCACCACGATTGAGTCGGCACACATTTTCTGCATTGTATCCCCATTTCGTTCATTTGAGAAACAAGGGTAAATCAAATTTACCAAAAATGTACTATATCACGAGCGATTATTGCACGGTGATGCTGTCTAGACGTTTGTAACCACCAATTGTCTGTTTTCACTTTGAAATAATTCAATTAGAATTAATAGAATTCATGATTACAGGCAATGATTAATATTTTTTTGTAAGACAATATGGTCATTTCGATTAAACGGTAAAACATTTCGTAAACGTTTACGAATGAAAGTCGAAACGGATCCGTTTAAACATGTAACCGTGGGGGCCTTACTATTCAGTCAGTACTAATTTAGAAATTTTCCCTGAAAATGATGAATTGTCTTGTCCAGATTGAAACATTGACAAATCCATTCACCATATTTTTAGTGTGATAAGGGTTAAAACACAGCCATGTGTAAAGATTATGTGTCAGAGTCACCTAATGAAAATCAGTGTTTCAAATTTATCCGCAATTTAAAAAAAATTGGGAGCATTATATTAAGACTGTCCAGTTCATTGTTTTACAGTGCTGTTCAGGTATTGGAAGGTGAAGGTCAGATCAAGATGACCTTGTGTAAAGGTCAAGGTGGAACCCCAGCTGATCAACCAATGAGAGCCTGGCATGATAGTTGGCAGGTCGTTTCCATGGCAGCCAATTCTGGTCTGATATTGACTAACATTGTGCCATTTAATGCTGATGATTACAGGGTGTACACATCTACTGGATTTAGGTAATTATTTTGTTTAAAAATAGATGTAGATAATACAGACTGATTTCATTTTTTTGTTGCTATGCAATTTAATGTGTAACATTCTATCTTTTTCCATCTTAAGTGCTCTTTAACATTTTTTTTATTGCTTATTAGTCTCATTGACAGATAAACATTATACATTCATGCTTGATTGTAAAGCTGGTAATTTAATTAAATCACTCTTCCTACAACTAACCATTACTGGTGTAATATAAGGAAATATGGCTATGACCCCAGTAGGTCTTGAAGCATTGTTCCCTGAGTTGATTGGCGAGAAACCTGAGTAATAGGTCACTGCTTCTTGAAAATTGTAAAGGTCAAACGTCATTTGTAGAGGAAGGCCTCAGGTACCATGCAGTACAGTACAGCAAAAGGAAGTACCTGTTTAATTAGAAATACTAGATTAGAAGTTAATGTATGAGAATTTCAAAAATTGTATGTTGATGTTGTTTTCTATTTTGAGAATCATATATGTGTAGAGCCTTAACAAATACATGTAGTGTACCTGTTATTACACAAGAAATCAAAAAATAATATTTGCTAACAAAATTTTCAAACTCTTTTATATTTTAGTCTCTATTGTGAAGATTTAGCACATAAATCACCTGCCAAAATAATTAATTTATAAACATCCTTTTGACTTACATATGATTTTTATCAAGATGAAAACAAATTTTCTGCTAATAAAAGACAATCAATCTTAGCTTAACACATTTTAACAATTTTCATGTGCTTTCTTATACAGGAGTTTAGATAAAGGTTTCAACACAGAGAATGCACTGACACATGTGTTTGAGATGGCCAAGCCAGTAAAGGTCCCTGGTGGTGCTGATGAGGTAAAGATCAAGCTAGGAAACAACATCTTCCTGTGTCAGCCTTATATCTACAGAAAACTGCTACAAATCAGGTTTGTATCTCTTTTGTAGCTTGTGATGACACTTGCAGAACAGACTTGTCCTGCTTAAACCCAGAAATGTTTTTTTGTTTATTTCTAAAAAGCTTTTCCTTTTTGATGTACTTTTATATATTACTGAAAAAAGTTAATCAGTGGTCAGTTACCTGATCCATCTTTTACTTCTATTGCTCTTTGGCATTTAGTACAGTTATAGTGATTTAGTATTTTGTATGGTAGTCAAAATACTATTTTATTAACATTTTGTTATTTTTGTGATAAATTAACATATTTAGTGCTACTTCTTTAAGGTAACAAGCATCTAACATGCGCTCATACTGTTATTTAAATGTTATAAAGGTTAAAAACTGTTGTTTGGCATTTCTAGGAAATTAAAAACATATTCGTTTTTCAGGCATAATTTTTGTTAACTTCAGTATAGAATTATTCCTTAAAGTCCTCTTTTTCTACATGTATATAAAACAGACAAAAATGCTACATTTAGAGCCTTCAGGATTTGTTTTACATTTTTACTGCTAGCCATGAAAATATATAAATACATGTATATATATATATATATATATACTAGTATGTTTTAATAGTAAGCAGACAAACAAACGGTAGTTTAACTTTTAATATTAATGGTAAGATACCAAATTTCTAATTGCTTTCAAAAGTGTGTGAAGGCATAAGCAAATTGCTCTTAGAGAATGTTGACTATAAGTAACATCTGTAATCATAGTGCAGTTAAAACATTTTGATTATCAAATATTTTAACACGAGGAAGGGGAAGAACTCTGCTGTCATTCAAAGCTTAACAAGGGGAGTAATGCATTGATCTTAATGGAACTTTAAATAGTGAGTTAAATAAATGAAAATGTGTGGTATTTCCCAGCAATTCTATATCTGAACAAATTGTTGATTCTTTTGTGATGAATATAATCTGTTTTGGAGTAGTTGTCCCATAGTTGTGTCAGGTTCATTGCTGTATGAATAAAGTGTACAGACAAAATGTTTTCTGTTTTTCTGTGACTAAACCTTTGTTTTGTTTATTAGGTCTAAATGCCAGTTATAACACAACCTTACAAATCATCCACAAATAATTATTTTGATCATAGATGCACTGACAACACAAATTTAGGACAGAATAAATTGACAAATATGTTTTAAAATGAAAGAGAAAATCGGAATAAAATTCTTTGCAATTTCTTTGTAAGGCACAGATATGGTTGGGGAATTTTCATGTTTTCTTTAAACTGTGAAAGCTAATATATAAACTAATATTAAACATTTTCTTGTCATTTTTACAGGTCTATAAACAGCAATATGAGTCATCCAATACACAGAGTTTATAGAAGATTTCTGAAATGTCTTACTTGTAATACAACCAACAAAGTTGAAAATCGAGGACTTCAAAGCCCTTTCAAAGAATATGCAACCAGAGTTCCATCATGTGATGCTGGTTTAATGTCAGATGAGGATTCTTACTATAAACTGATTAAATCTGATGTCACAGATTTCAAGGAGGTCGGTGATGATCTAAGTGATCTAATAGATGAAACAGATAATGAAATTATCAAGGATGATAAAGATGTTAGTAAAGACTGGAACCCATTAGTATTTGCAGGTCCCGACGACCCTGAAATTTTAAGGATAAAATATGGACCAGTCTATAAACCATGTGATATTTCATTGAACCAGTCTCTTGTGTCCTATATTATGACACTTGCATGGCCTGTTTCTATTGGTTCAGATAATGGTGATGATTTGGAGCTTGTTAAAGAAAATTTAGCTAAAACTGCGAATGAAGTTGCACATAAAGTTAAACATATACTTGATGATATGATGGTAAACACAAGGTGGAAAGTAGATTTAACAAATGGTCATGTTGAGTTTATTCAAATATTGTCTGAAGATTTAGAAAAAGTTTTTGATGTGGCTGACATATACATCTGTGATAAAACACTTAATTTATCCGAAGGAACAGTACATAATAAGAGCAAAGATCAAGAATCTGTGAAGGTAGGTGATTGCAAATTGAAATTTGTCAGGGATAATTTAGTATCAAAATCTTCATTTGTTACAGTTTTTTGTACCATTGACCTGTGTAAACTTGCATGTAGTATATACAGCATCGAAAATGAGAAATTGATGTGGTCTGAAGACACAAGAGTACTTGGTATGTTTTCTCAGCTAGATCTTGTATCACCTGTTCATAGTTTTGTTCTTGAAAATGGTTTACAAGCTGTTAATGAAAGTACACAAAGTGAGCCAAAATTATCAGAATGTGAAGCTGCAGATGTAGCCAGAAGCAGTAAATTCCAGTGCAAAGATTTTGGTATAAAATCACCGAGCTTATATCCGATGACATTCATTCATGACATGAGTTTCTGGGAGAACAAGAACTTACCATTTTGTATGTTCAAGTATTGTGACATAATACGAGATGTGGCAGGTGATTGTGTGATTGGTTTGGAACTTTTAGATACATACACTGAACTTGTATCTGGTAAAACAAGTCGCTGTTACAGATTGACATTCCAGTCGGCGGACAAGGTACTGTCGTATGACACATCTTGGAGGTTACAAAGTCTTATACGACTTGAAGTTGAGAAGAAAATGAAAATTGAATTGAGATAGTGAATTCTTATAATTTTATTTACGGTTTTTTATTTGAAATGAGTATTTCTATGGAGAAAAAAAATTCAACTATCATAGGACTATCTGTCTGGTGCTTGCTGTGGATGTATGCATATGTTAGGATATTGATTAATCTAAATATATGTTTTCTGATACACATTTGTACCCTATTGAAGATCATTTATGTATACATATGTACACTTGTAAAGCTGTAAAGTAAAAGATAGTAATGTCACTTGTTAACTTATTTTCTCTTACTCTTAATAGTTATACGATCTTTCTGTTAAGTTAAGTTTTTTCTAGAGAGTGTTTTTAGGGGCACCTAAGGCCGGGTGGTTATGGTCGTTAACTTTAAACCACTTGCCCCTCACCACTTTGGGTTTCAATCATGACAGGGACTTCTTTCAAGTGAGCTAGTTTACAGAATGTGGATGGTTCTACTCGGGTGCCAGTTTACAGAATGTGGATGGTTCTACTCGGGTGCCTGTTTGTGTCTGAAATAATGCATAGAAGGGCACTTGAGGTCTTCCTCCACCAATAAATCTGGAAAGTTGCCATATGACCAACTGTATACTCTGTTGGTGTGATTTAAACCCCGACCAAAAAAAATACATATTTAGTTACCTAAGTCTGTCCAGTCTTTCTCTTATACAAAGTTCTCATTGATTTACTATCATCTAGCTGATAAATCACTTCTAATATTTTGATACCAAGGCTACAAAAAAAAGTTTTGTTTTGAGGGGAAAGAAAATTAAATTAGTATAAAAGAGTATATATACAATGTTTTAATACCATTATTAAATCATTTATGTTTTACAATTAAGTATGCATGCATGTAAATATAATGCTAACTAATTCATTGACATAAAAAATACTGGATAAAGAATTTGCTCATTGCCCGAAGATATAATGTACATGTATGTTCAGATTAATATTTATTTCTAGGAACAAATGGTTTATGTCTAATGACTGATGCAGTAATTTTACTTAACATTTTCTTCCTCTGAAACATAATACAGATATGCGGTTGTATTTTTTTTTGTTGTTATTGAAGACTATTTAGTTTATGTATATTTTATTGCGATTATTGATACATAACAAAATTAGAAATAGTTTCCTTTGCTAGCACTGATCCTATAAGATTACAGCTAATTTAAGCTAAGCAGTAAACAGTAAATAAATAAACTAATAAAGTGACATATCTCTTACATTGTTCTAAGAGCACCGTCTGGTTAGCTCAATAGGTAGAGCTTTGGACTGTGAGTCGGGCGAGCCTGGTTCGATTCCCGGACGGTGCAGGTCATTTTTCGATGTGATTTATCATGAAATCTTTTGTATGTCATTCGCACTGTACATCTGCTAAGTCATCAGTTACTTATGAAAATGAAGGCAACTGGTAAACTGCTTGACAGCCTGCCCACGAACAATGCGGTGGCTGATCTGTTCTCTAGTTAATTTAATGAGGCTTACTTAACTAACAAGTTTCTCAGCAACTTACTGACAACTTCTACACAAAGATGTCTATAAAGCACGGGTTCAAAATGTGTCCAATGCTCGACCTCAAAAATCCATAACTCGTGGGCATAAGGTATTCACTCCGATACTTAAGAGGATGGACTGAAACCTATAACTGCATGTGCAGCAATGTATAAACCTTAATTTATGAGTAACGAATACCAGGAAATTATATCTATATATGTCCCTGTTGATACTAATTTACATTTCCGCAATCCGAAAATTGCAGGACAAATTTGTATGATGTTATTATGCATGAATGTTGTACTAATTACCACATAATAACTCTTGTACTCGCATTAACGTATCATCAAAGATGAGAATACAATTACATCATTCCTGTACGGAGACATTTTCTCAGAAGTATATCACAAAATGAACTTATAATGTATGCGTAAATCATAATTCGTTTTTGTTAGCTACAGACATTACATATCGTATGCTATGTTCAATGCTAAATTGAACTTTATATATAGTCTATAAGAATGGTTATGTACTTTGTAACCTATGTGAGATCGCTATAGCGACTTATTAATGTCGCCGACATTTATTCCATCACGGAATTGAAGTCTGTGATTCCATTAACTTTGGGAAAAAACATGTCACTCTTAGTGCACTCATTTCATTAGCAGGAGTTATAGATTAAGTTAAAGATTTACACAGACGTGATACCTGCACGTTGTCATACTCAAACAGACCATTTTGAGTGCTCATTTTACCATAAAAAATTGTCAATGCACTTAAATTGTTCACTTGTTTCCTTAAAGATACTTTAAAATAAAGTTTATAAAGCGATGTTCCAGCTTTACTGGTAGACGAAAACCTCAGGTGCCCCTTCATTATTTCAGGCACGATAGGGTACCTGACTTGAACCATCAATCATCTGTATCTAGTTATATCTGGATACCTTCCTCACACAAAAGAACTCATAGTTTATTTCGGGAATTTGAACTCGCAGGGATTAAGAGCAAGTGATTTAAAGTCAGCTTTTTCTATCATTCGGCCTTAGAACAACATGGTGGTGGTGGTGTTGATAGTTTTCACTCCGAATTTTGACACACATTCGAGGGCTTCAAGATATATGCCCGCGAGCAATCTGATCACGTGGTTCATTCGAGAAGCATATCTAAAATCGCTTAAAAGGGACTCCTTTGAGTTTTTTTAGCTACGGGACTGAAAATATGTGT